CCTTTACGTTGAGTCAAATGAGTGGTCGCTTCATCTGCAAAGAACTTACATGTCCTTTCTATATTTCCTTAAGGTGAAAGCAGACAAGAAGCACCCCTCATACTCTACTATTAATGATTTGTCGAGCTCCATTCTGTTTCAAAACAGGCTTTCGATGAGGCAGCCCTTCTCAGTTCGCCTGAAGGGTCTAGATGAGGACACTGGAGTGCCACTTGAACACAGTTTAATGGCTCCTGTAGCATACCCGCCACCGTGGCAGTGGCAGACTATAGGCTGCGATGTGTCTTTCTTAGAAGTTACTAAACATGCGCCTATTGCCCATATCCGAACATACTTCCTGGAACTTCAACACAAACACACATGTCCTGAGTTCTTTACAGATGCCTCCAAGTCTAACTCCTCTGTGTCCTACGCTGCTGTTGGCCCTTCCTTTTCGGATGCTGGCCCTCTACATCCAGGCACAAGTATCTTCACAGCGGAAGCTTACGCGATACTTGTGGCAGCTAAACACATCAAACAATTACAAATACAAAAAGCAGTAATTTATACAGACTCCCTCAGTGTGGTAACGGCTCTGCACACTCTTAAAAAACAAAAAAAACCCGGTCCTTGTCTCACTTTACTCCATTCTGTGCACACTCTACACACTCAAACAACATGTTGTAGTGTGCTGGGTGCCAGGGCACCGTGAGATTCAAGGCAACGTGAGGGCGGATCAGCTCGCTGCATCCGTCCACAAAATCACTGCCCCTACACCCATATTAATCCCGGCCCTTGATCTTAAGCCGTCTCTCAAACGAAACCTCAGGGACTACTGGCAGAGCAAGTGGGATACACACACACAAAACAAACTACACATTATTAAGCCACACCTTGGTCATTGGCTGCCAGTATCAAAATCGCGTCATACAGAGGTAATACTAACGAGACTCAGGATAGGACACACATACACGACACACACATATCTTTTGTCCGGTGGCGATCCATCATTGTGTGACAGATGTGGTGAAGCATTAACAGTCCTTCACATGTTAATTCAGTGCAAACACTTAGAAACCCTAAGAAAACAGCATTTTCCATTACCCTACCGACAACATATACCTTTACACCCTGCAATGTTCGTTGGTAGGGAACCGCTTTTTAGTCATAAATCATTGTTAGCGTTTTTAAAAGAAATTCATAATTTTCATATCATATACCCGGGCATTCCGTAGCACGACCCCTCCAGAGAGGTTTTTGCTGCGGTGGCTACACAGGAAAGCACTTGCCTCACGGCCCTTGGACGCAAGGGTATGAACGAGTGAGGTACTTGTGCTGATGCCATACATGTCCACCATCGTTTTACATTATCACCAACTTTTGTCACCTATTCACACCGCACGCATCTTTCACGGCATGGTCATGATTTTATTACTTGTATGTTTTTACCCGCCTTACTGCGAGGAATTTTATGGCCCTTATACAGCCGCTAATCACAATCATTATCCACATTCCTTGTCCATAAACTGGCGCTCTTTGGCCACGAAATGGCCCTTGCGCCACAAAACATCAAACATCATCATGTTCACATTCATTCCCAGGGACATTGGTAAGCTGCGTCACAACTTGGAAGTGTGTGGCATATGCACTTCTTTGCTTATCGTGAAGATGTTTGGATGTACAGTTATGAGCGATAGTAAAGGAAATGCTGAAGTAAACTTTTCGTATTCATATCTTAAACATGGTTAAAAAGTGGAAAGTGTTCATATCGCTAAATGCTCAGGTAGAAAGGTATTTGTTCCAATTCAGTACATCACAACTAACTGTTAATTTAGCACAAGTTTGTTGTTCCCTCTCATACTGCTCTTGGTTGTACGTGCGTGTGCAAAGTTTGAATAGGCATGCCATGAACTGTTTCCCTTAAAGACCAGCGGTTATCCTGTCTACGCGCTACATGCCCGGCCCATGTCCATTTCTTCTTCTTGATTTCAGCTGTGATATCCTCAACCCCCGTTTGTTCCCTTATCCACTGTGCTCTCTTCTTGTCTCTTAAGGTTACACCTACCATTTTTCTTTCCATTGCTCGCTGCGTCGTCCTCAATTTAAGCTGAACCCTCTTTGTAAGTCTCCAGGTTTCTGCTCCGTAGCTAAGTACCGGCAAGATACAGCTGTTATATACCTTTCTCTTGAGGGATAGTGGCAATCTACCTGTCATTATTTAAGAGTGCTTGCCAAATGTGCTCCACCCCATTCTTAATCTTCTAGTTACTTCAATCTCGTGGTTTGGCTCCGCGGTTATTACCTGCCCTAAGTATTCATAGTCTTTTACAACTTGGAAGTGCACTATTACCTATCTCGAAGCGCTGCTCTTTTCTGAGGTTGTTGTACATTACTTTCGTTTTCTGCAGATTAATTTTAAGACCCACCTTTCTGCTCTCCTTGTCTAACTCCGTAATCATGAGTTGCGATTCGTCCCCTGAGTTACTCAGCAATGCAATGTCATCGGCGAAGCGCAGGTTACTAAGGTACTCTTCATTAACTCTTATCCCTAACTGTTCCCATTCTAGGCTTCTGAAAACCTCCTGTAAGCACGCGGTAAATAGCATTGGGGAGATTGTGTCCCCGTGCCTTACACCCTTCTTGATTGGTATTCTGTTGCTTTCTTTATGAAGCACTATGGTAGCAGTTGATCCCCTGTAGATTTCTTCCAGAAAATTTATATATACTTGATCTACGCCCTGATTCCACAGTGTCTGCATGACGGCTGATATTTCTACTGAATCAAATGCCTTCTCGTAATCTATGAAGGCTATGTATAGTGGTTGGTTATATTCTGAGCATTTCTCTATCACCTGATTGATAGTATGAATGTGGTCGATTGTTGAGTAGCCTGTTCGAAATTTTGCTTGTTCCTTTGGTTGATTGAATTCTAATGTTTTCTTTACTCTGTTAACAATTACCTTTGTAAATAGCTTTTATACTACAGAGAGCAAGCTGATCGGCCTGTAATTCTTCAAGTCCTTGTCATCTCCTTTCTTATGTATTAAGATGATGTTAGCGTTCTTCCAAGACTCTGGTACTCTTCCCGTCAGGAGACATCTCGTAAATAGGGTGGCTAGTTTTTCTAACACAATCTGTCCTCCATCTTTCAGCAGATCTGATATTACCTGATCCTTGCCAGCAGCTTTGCCTCTTTGCATGCTCTCCAAAGCTTTTCTGACTTCTTCTATCATTACTGGTGGGGTGTCATCTCGGTTACTGCTAGTTCTTATAGTATTAAAGTCGTGGTTGTCCCGGCTACTGTACAGATCTCTGTAAAACTCCTCGTTTTCCTCGTTTCCTCGTTTTCTCGTTTCCTCGTTTTCGGTAGAAGGTATTCAAAATCCGTAAGTTATTGCGTTCTGCGAATTCTACTAGTAGCTCTCCTCTGGCGTTTCTAGTACCGATGCCATAATCTCCTACTGCCTGGTCTCCAGCCTGCTTCTTCCCTATCTTTGCATTAAAGTCTCCTACCAGTATAGTATACTGTGTTTTTACCTTACTCATTGCCGATTCCTAGTCTTTATAGAAGCTTTTAACTGAAGCGTCATCATGGCTGGATGTGGGCGCGTAAGCCTGTACCACCTTCATCTTGTATCTTTTATTCAGTTTAATTACGATACCTACCACCCTTTCATTAATGCTATAGTATTCTATGTTGCCAGCTATGTTTTTGTGAATTAGAAACCCCACTCCCAGTTCTCTTCTGTCAGCCAAGCCCCCATAGCAAAGGACGTGCCCATTCTGCAGCACCGTATAAGCCTCATCTGTCCTCCTAACCTCACTGAGCCCTATTATATCCCATTTCACACCCTCTAGCTCCTCGAATAGTACAGCTAGACTACCCTCACTAAATAAGGTTATAGCGTTAAACGTTGCCAAGTTCAGGTTCCTATGGCGGCCTGTCCGGATCCAGAGATTCTTAGCACCCTCTGCTGCGTTGCAGATCTGACCGGCGCCGTTGTCAGTTGCTTCGCAGCTGCTGGGGACTGAGGGCCGTGAGTTATTTGACGTATCCATGTGGGAGGTAGTGGCCAGATACTGCACCAGGGTGGCCAATCCTTCTCTGGTGAGGGAGTGCGTTCCCAGCGGTGGTTACCGGTGAGGGCGCACCCCAGGCCTCTTAATGCAGTTCCATCACAACGCTGATTTTTTTTTTAATCCGGTTGGGAGCTGCGCGGCACCGGGATATGAACCACGGACCTTTTGCATGCGAGGCGGATGCTCTAACCACTACGCCATCGCTGCATTCCCAGAGAAGGCAAGCGGGTTAGGGGGAGACAGAAGGTTTGGTGGGCAGATGAGATTAAGAAGTTTGTGGGTATAAATTGGCAGCAGCAAGCACGGGACCGGGTTTAGGGGCGAAACATGGGAGAGGCCTTTGTCCTGCAGTGGACGTAGTCAGGCTGATGATGATGATGAGGATGAACTGTTTCTCTTGCCATACTAGCGAACCTTGTTAGCATATTTAAATAACATACCTGCCTTCAGGTGTTATCAATATGTTTCATTATTCCGAGGGGGAAAAAACAAGCAAGATAGGTGCAGCTGATTTCAAACTTATGAGGCAGCACTGACATAGTATAGTTACACAACTGCTTACTTTGTGGTTTTACTCCAAACATAGAGATAGCATGCTAAATAATCTCTGTGTGTAGTTTCATATTAAGTGTTCCTTAGAAACTCTATTTGATTTGAACCATGTGATCATTAGTAAGTGAAAGTTGCTGTTTTTAAGATATAAAACTTGCATCACCATGTTTTGATTTTTGATCAGGTTTGAATTTCTCGAGAGTGCTATCAGTATGTGGTAATTCTTTTGTGTGACCTGATAAAAACACTCCTTAATAGCTCATTAGGGCAAGTAAGCAACTTTTCTAATTCAGTTGGTGTGACCAAGGGATAACTGATTGCTGCAGTATAATGTGCACAATAGTCAATACCATAGGCTGTGCAGCATTAATTAATAATATGACTTTCAGTAACACTGCTGGAGATGTGATTGCACGTGCCACACTGGATGCCTGGAAGGATGGCATAGATCGCAGCAAGGTCAGGCTGAATGACATGGAAAAAGTCATTGAGTTGGGGAGCTTCAATGAAAAAGGTAAGGCAGAGGCAGGGTGTCACTTGTAGTAGAATTTTTTATTCGGCCACTACAGCAGCTGCATTGGTTCAAATTGACGGAGTGCAGAATCACATACTTCATACCTGGCTGTAATGTATAGCTGTGCCAGTGCACATCTAAAAGTTGCAAGTGGCTGAAACCACTTTGTATACCCCATATGACTACTACCCCATGTGACCATGTAAATGTAGTGCTTGTTTGTTAGTTTTCACTTGTGTTCTTGACATTCACGTTTCTGCTTATGAAGTGACTATAACGGGAAGTCGATAACCACATTTATAATCTAGTGCAAAAAACGACAAGACGGACACAAGAAAGGACACACTACAGGTGTACCACAAGTAGTTAAGGGTTTTGATGAAAAGCCTAATTAGAAATTTTCTTATACTTATTTCAGTATAATACTTATTTCATTATAGGTCAATAGTATATTCAAGCTCAGCGAAGCTTAATCGGAAGACGCATTTTTAACCAACAGACTTGACCCGTATTCTGATACCTCATGAGTTTTATTAAATTCTGTTTGTAAAACGAGGTGATTGATTAAACTTTACCTGTTTGGTTTATTTTTACATAATTGACAATGGTGAACACTTTTTTTTTTGTCTTCTATGCTGGCTGCATCAGCTTTTAGAATAGCTTTGCCTTCATGCAGTCTTCCAGCACACTTCCACACATGCTTTGCACCATTTTTATCTGTGCTCTGGGGTCAAGTGTATATTCTGTTACCATTGCAGCACAAAGCTGCAATGGTACTTCAGTAGGTGAATAATTTTGGATGTCTTCATTATAATACCGAAGATGCTCTGTTCCATTTTTTTTACATTTGTCATCGCAATCGTATTTCTGCAGGAGGGCTCTATCGTGCTGACATTGTGCAGAAGAACTTGATTGATGTGTTCGTGCCATTTCTGCCACTTGAAAGGAAACAGATCATGGCGTGCATCCGAGATGAGTTCAAGCGCCGCAGCCGCACAGCTAACGATAAACTTGTAGAAGACATTGCCAACGAATTGGACTATATACCAGCAGAGTATTCACTATACGCTTCGACAGGGTGCAAGAAAATTCACCAAAAGGTGGCTCAACACTTGGGTTTCTCGGAAAAGATATGAGTTGTGACTTTCTTCTTGAGGCCTTTTTACTAGTACTCAGGAATTGCACTTGCTTTCTAGAAAGTGAGCACTACAAAAATAGGCTTCTTTCTTTTCTCTGCTTCTTTATGTCGGCACAAGCAATGGTTTTGTTTGCCCTTTGATTTAACAATACTGCGTGCATCAGTTGACACTATTGCTGGCTTAGATTCATTTTGTGGTGTCGCCACCTGAACAGTGCCTACATTTGAGGACCATTTACATGGGTGTAGAGAGATAGTGTGTGTGCAGGTGAGATTATACTGGTACCTTCACCAACCCCAAACTGCACAAAGAAATCAGTTTGTTCACCTTTAGCCTTCTGCACACATGCTTCTGTTTATACTAATTCTGCGCATCTTATGAATCACGTTTTGTATTCTTTGTAATCAGAAGCAGTGTTAAGTTTGGGCCAGTATTTGGCTTCATCACAGCATAGATTTGGTGCAAGTGCAATTTCTGGATACTGGTGTCACTTATATGAAAGACCGTTGTGAGAGATGCGTTGGTTCAAGCCTGGTGCTTGATATTGCTCATCTAGGTATGGTACTCTCAATAATTTCAATTTCATACGTTCAACAACAAAAAAAAAACCATGTCCTGTAAAATAGGCAGTCACTCTGAATGTTTTTTGTGTGCATTGTGTGTGCTATTGCTTTTTATTATTTAAGTATCTTGGCACGTAATGAATATGATGAACATGCAGGATGAATTGAAAGGATGTGAATCTGAAGGATAATTATGAATGTAAAGTAGTGGTATGTGAGCATAAAGTAGACAAGGTAAATAGATATGCTGATTTCATGTGACTCTGTTTGCTATTGTCGTCCAACTTGTGCAGCGACTTGTGGACAAGGAAAAGAAATTAAAATGTGTCAACGTCATGGGGCTCTTCTTTTTTTACTTTGATAATGATGTGTAGCTTCTGGAGCTCTGATTTACAGCGGTCAATTTTTTTCAATTTTGCACTAGTTGTGCAAAACATGCTCTCAGTTTGTTTTTATGATCTTTTCCTCTATTTTAATCAAATTGCCACTTTTCTTGATATAACTTCTGTTGAAGCAAGTCTTAATTTATTTTCATGATCAGTTTTTTTATTTACTCTAGATAGACTCAAATATTTTAGTACCAAAGCACGTAAAACAAGAACAGACCCAGATATCAAGAGAAACATATGGCCTTATTCCATAAAAGACATCTACAATCGAACCTTGAAATACATAGTATGTCTCAAGGTGATAGAAACTTTGAAAATAGTTTGTCTCAAGGTGATGGAAATCAGTCATCATTGTCAAGAAACAATCATTGACTCAATGGAGCAAGCACTCAAATGCATACACTATGTTTTTCTGTCTTTTCGTGGAGGTAACCGGATTTAAAATGTGATAGTGGTGATACATGGTATTGGCAACTAGCAATGGGGCACACAAGAATGAGTGTAACAGTGGTCATTGTTACTATAATTGTCACAGGCAGTATTTTTATTTCATGTATAAATTCAATTTTCTATTACTGTAGAAGACTTTAATGTGTGCACCACTCTTGGTGCCCTGAAACCGGCCTGAACCTTAAGCACTTGTCAACCTATTTTGGTGTCAGCTGAAACATGGCTGAGCTGTTAGAGTAAATGCTTGATTCAGTCATTCTCACTCTGGAAGTTTATTGTTGGAATGATATGCTGAAGCTGATAAATGCTTGCATCACACTGAATCTACAGCATAAATTGAGAGTCTGGACAACAATTAACATATCATATTTTATTTGCAGTCCTATGTTTAAATAGTTATAGTTCATGTGGTTCTGTTGTTTATGGGTATTTCAGGCATTGAGGCTTATCTGCTGGCCTGTTTATTACTTGTAAAGCTTTGTGAATCATTAGCAGTTTAAAAACATGTTAAGATTAACCATCATATTGGTGTTTCACTCCACACAGGCAACAGAGATATGCTGCTCGCATATTTTTCGGTTGTTTGGCAGGACCTTCTGTATGTGCAGGCTGTGCAACAAAACAGATAAGGTCAGTCAAACTAGTTTATACTATTGGCTACCAAATATAGCAGGCAATGTTTGCATCATTCTTCCATATTCCCAACTTTGCTAGTAGCTTAAGCTTAAAAAAAAAGGTACGTGTTGCTTTAAATGCTCTGTCTCTAGTCGTGTGAGAACTTCTGCCTTAACAAGTGTGTGCTGAATTTTGAAAATGTCTACCATCTTGTATAGGCTGTGAGATGAGCACTCATGCCTTGCATCTGGGCATTTTGCCAGGTGATTTTTTTTTTTTCAGCTATATAGTGAGAAGTGACTTCTAAATGCTTTTTCTCCTTCAAGAGCTTGTTACTGGGCATAGAGCTTGTGTTTTTCTGTTTTTAGGAATGTTTTTAAGGCATTGCATGCCTGTCTTGTTGCAAATGCCTTGTTATATAAGTGATACAATCCAGTTGTCAAGGTAAACATTTTTTGTGAAGTGATATTTTGAAGTGTACAGTATGCTTTTGTAACATGTGGGATAGTGTGTTTTACTAAATTTATAATTGTATCATTTGTGTGTAATAAATTTTTGTCTATTAGATCTCCATTGAAGTAAAGCCTGGAATGTTGCAAATTTATCCATGAGATTCACTCTAAAACATTGAATGTTTTTGTCGCTTGTAAGAACTGCAAGACTTGCAGGGGCGGAAGCTATATACCAGTTGTACTATCCTATTCTAAATCATTTATAGTGTGCTAGCCTGCTCCAAAGCACATGCGCACTGTGGGGTCTCGAATTGGCAAGCGAGCGCCACGCTCTTGAAGTGAACGGACACAGTAGACACAGTCGGTACAAACCAAAGAACAATAAATATTTATTTAACTAATGTAGACGACGATATCGTCCGCCGAATCGATACATCAGTAATGAACACGCTAGGACATTGTTACACAATAACACAACAAACACACAACATGAGAGCACACAAAAGGCGGCGTCGCCAACGCTTCACTCACCACGTGGGCCTACCGCAGGCGGCCCGCGGTGCCGTCCACGGCAGACCCACCGCCAGAGACAACCGTTTGCAGTAACCACCACGCGCAGAAAAGGCTCTCTCAACCCTCGCCCACCACCAAGGCTCGCTTCCGCCAGGGGTCACTGCCGGCCCTACCCCATGATGATGATGACGATAGTGTTGCTCAACGCGAATACAACGCCACCTCTCGCCCGGCGGTCGTCACCCGAAATGCGGCTTAGAGGCAAGACACGTGTGCCACACAGCGCAAACAACTGTACAGGGGTTGTCAGCACCCCCACAGCACATACATGTAAATTCGCAATTGTTAAAACTTGTGGAACGCAAAACGAAGGGAAAGGGACAAGGCTGGCAGCTACACAAGTCTTTTCTGGAATACACATGCACTTAATTAATGAGGAGTATCCTTTCTGCTCTGCCTTTACATGCTCCAAACTCATTTGAATAAGGACAGAAACACTTGTTATTTGATATGGTCATTTGCCATCATTACCAGCCTATTTTGTGTCCACTACCGGACGAAAGCCTCTCCCAACGATCACTAGTTTACCTTATCTTGTGAAAGACAATACTGCCATTTTGTGGCTACAAATTCCTTAATTATCCCACCTAACTCTCTGCCATTCCAGGCTACACATCCCATCCTCCGGTATTCATTTCGTTGATCTCTATGACCATCCGTTAACAGTTCTCTGCATTTCTCAGTGAACCTAAAGCATTGTCCGCCTGTCTAGCCACTCATGTTTTCATGCTCTCGTGTTCATTTAGTCTACCTAGTATATAGTATGCGCATACCACAGCCGATTTTCATAACATTGTGAAAAATATAGGCGAAACTGCAGTGGGTTAACCGACACCTCCTCATGACATGTATGCATCTTGTGATCCCATATTTTGGATATATTAATGAGTTGTATAAAGACGTAAACTAGTTGTCACTCGGCGTTCGTGATGTCTACCTTTTTGTCCTTCGTCCAGACCATTCTGGTCACATCACAATTCAAAGTAATCACATGTTGTTTATTGTAACCTCTTTTATATTTTTGGAGCCAGCCCCGCGGTGGTGGTCTTGTGGCTAAGGTACTCGGCTGCTGACCCGTAGTTCGTGGGATCAAATCCCGGCTGCGGCGGCTGCATTTCCGATGGAGGCGGAAATGTTGTAGGCCCGTGTGCTCAGATTTGGGTGCACGTTAAAGAACCCCAGGTTGTCGAAATTTCCGAAGCCCTCCACTATGGCGTCTCTCATAGTCATATGGTGGTTTTGGGACGTTAAACCCCACATATCTATCAATATATTTTTGGAGCCATCTTCCTGGGCCATTTTCTCCCACTTCTGTAAGTTGAAGGTTGAGATCAGCAATAATGTTGATGAAAATATATGACCAAATTCAACTTGTCTGTGGTAGTAGAGGCAGTTTTTAGATACTTGCATACAACTTGTAGCAACCGATTTTGGCTCTCTGCCGTTATGTGAGCGACATTGTTTTCATTCAATTTCAATCCAATGACTTAGCTGTCTGCCAATCTTACAAGTAACTGTGCATCCTTTGGTTGTGTACTAACAATCGGCGACTTTGAACGTTCTCCATGTAAACAACTAGGACAGTTGAAATGTTCCAAAAAATGTTTGTCGATGACCTCAAGATTATACCCCTGTCACACTGGTGAAAGTAAGTGCACTTTGAGTGCACTTTCTAGTGCAATCACATGAGTGGGCACGGCGGACCCGGAGCGAACATGTGGGAGTGGGCACGGCAGACCCGGAGCGAACATGTGGCCTAAAACGCCATTCTTCCGCATTGTGCAGGTTTTCCTGTTCGGTCTGGCCGGAACGCACTGCGCAACCGACGTATCAACAGTCTACACGTGCCGTATGGATTCACCCAAGATGGGCCCTTGCATCGCCAGTAATTGCTACCCTGTCATCGAGCTTGCTCCGCCCCCTTCGCATCATGTGACCTCGTCTGCGTCCCCTATAAAAGTTGGCATCCAGAACTTCAGCTTCAGTGGGCACGGCGGACCCGGAGCGAACATGTGGCCTAAAACGCCATTCTTCCGCATTGTGCAGGTTTTCCTGTTCGGTCTGGCCGGAACGCACTGCGCAACCGACGTATCAACAGCCTACACGTGCCGTATGGATTCACCCAAGATGGGCCCTTGCATCGCCAGTAATTGCTACCCTGTCATCGAGCTTGCTCCGCCCCCTTCGCATCATGTGACCTCGTCTGCGTCCCCTATAAAAGTTGGCATCCAGAACTTCAGCTTCAGTGGGCACGGCGGACCCGGAGCGAACATGTGGCCTAAAACGCCATTCTTCCGCATTGTGCAGGTGGGTACTCACTACTGTACAATAAGGAGCGATTGCCCTGGTCTTCTGGTCTTGCCGTGCCCCCATCAGTGCCTTTGTATTGCGTATGACGTTTACTGCGTATGCTCATTACTTCTGTGTGGGGATGTTGAGGTGAACCCTGGGCCTGTCGAGAAAATGCTGAAGGAGCTACTGGATGGTCAGAACAAAATTTCTTCGGACATAGCTGCGATAAAGGCGCAACAAGAAAACATGGAAAAAATTATTTCCGATTGGAACTCGCGTTTCGCTGTACTGGAACAACGTACTGCCTGTATTGATGCTCTGAAGGTGACAGTGGCCACGCTTGAAGCTAAATTTACTGATCTTGAAGACAGGAGCAGGCGGTCCAACCTAGTTGTTTTCGGCATACCTGAGCCACCGGAAGAAACCGAGGACATGCTGAAAGAAGCTGTACTCACTGAGGTTTTTGAACATAAACTTGAGGTCAAATGCAAATCAGTAGGTAGAATTCACAGATTAGGCAAGCCCGGTGGCAGTCGCCCAGTTATCGTATATTTTCAGGATTACAACGAAAAGCAGCAAACTATATCGAATGCCCGTAAGCTAAAGGGTACAGATATTTCTGTTCAAAATGACTATTCTAAGGAAACACTCCGTAAACGTAAACTGCTCTGGAACAGCGCCAAAGAAGAAAAGAGACTAGGCAAGAAGGTTAATCTTGTACATGACAAACTTATGGTTGATCGGGATAGGTATGTATGGGATGACTGCAAAAACTCGAGGATTAAAATTGCCAGTTCCCAGTCCAGTAAACATAAAACATGACCTGAACGCCCCGATTCTAAACAACTGCGCCTCCTAAATATTAACGCACGCAGCATCGTTAATAAATCCGGGCAACTGGAGTCCATTCTTCTTGGCAATAGTCCGCACATTGTTGTTATCACCGAAACCTGGTTGTGTGACGATATCAGCGATGATGTCGTTTTCCCCTCCTCCTATTGGGTGTATCGTCGAGATAGAAATCGTAGCGGAGGCGGTGTCGCTGTGCTCGTAAAATGTGCTCTTGATGTGACGCTTCTTAATCAGATCGACGACCACGAAAGCCTTTCTTTGAAGGTATCCTTCTGTGGGCGTTCATTTCTTATCTTTGCTGTGTATCGTGCACCTGACTCGCCTCCTCGGTTTCTGCATGACTTACACGAACACATGGCGACATACAAGCATGACAGAATATTTCTTGTGGGCGATTTTAACATGCCTAACGTAAATTGGGACTCCGCTTTTGCCAGTGTCGGACAATCCCCGCAAACCTCGTATCTACTAGATATAATGATGTGCCATGATTTGCGCCAGGTGGTGAAGCAACCAACACGTGTCGGCATGACCTGTGCTTCTGTACTTGACCTTGTTTTTGTAAGTCAATCAATACAAAATTATTATGTCTGCATTGAAAATGGTCTTTCTGACCACCATATGGTGTCTTTTTCATGCTCTGTGGAAAAAGTGTGTACTGTGCCTCGAGCTAAATGTATTCGCGTCAAAAATTTTTCCCGTGCCCATGGTGAATCTGTGTTAAATTATTTAGAACTCCGCCTAAGCAACTTCCACGGTTCTAACACTGCCCAAATGTGGGATACTTTCAAGAACATGTGTCTTCACTGTATCGAACATTTTGTTCCAGACAAGGTAAAAAAGACGCGTAAGCTAACCCCTTGGATTTCACGGGATATTTTACACTTGAAAAGAAAATTAAAACGCCTGAAGCGAGGAGTGTCCTCTCGTGACATCATTCAAACCACTCAATTAGCCCTTAATCAAGCCGTAGCAAGCGCTAAACGAAGTTATTTTGAGCACGAGTTGCCGAATTTCATTCGATCTGCTCCGCAGAAATTTTGGAACTTCTTGTCGAACAAAAGAAAACCTATTGAAAAATTACGTCACGATAATGCGCTCCTCGTTGATAAGACAGACATTGCTGAGCATTTCAACGCTTATTTCCACGGTGTATTTTCGACAGTACATGAGCCTATGCCCCAAATTGTTTCCAATTGCAGAATCAATGCTGATATTGTGTCTATATCTGGTGTGATTTCTATGATGCTTAACCTAAAAACTAAGTCTTCACCTGGTCCTGACGGGATACCGAACGTTTTTCTTTCCCGTTACGCTGAAGCATTATCACCCTTTCTTGTGGCAATTTTCAACACATCATTATCTTCTGGTGTCCTACCCTTTGATTGGAAAGTCGGACGCATTGTTCCCGTGT